GCTTGAGCCCAGGAGTTGGAGGTTGCTGTGAGCTGTGATGCCATGGTACTTTACTCAGGGGGATAGCTTGAGGCTCTGTCTCAAAAAAAAAAAAAAAAAAAATATATGTGTGTGTGTGTGTGTGTATCCCAAGTCATTATATCCTAAACATTGTTTGAGTATTTTGTAATTTTTCATCTATGATTGTATCATAATTTAATCCTTGGCTGGTCAGAGTGCAGTTATGTTTACAGCTAATTAATCACAACCTGCCACAGATTTTTTTGTTCCTTCTCCATTCCCACTGCTTCACTTGATGAGCCTCATTAAAAAAAAAAGAAAGAAAGAAAAGAAAAACCGCCTACTGTGGTGGTTCACGCCTGTAATCCCAGCACTCTGGGAAGCTGAGGTAGATAGATTGCCTGAGCTCAAGAGTTCGAGACCAGCCTGAGCCAGAGTGAGACCCTGTCTCTAAAGAATAGCTGGGTGTTGTGGCAGGTGCCTGTAGTCCCAGGTACTCAGGAGGCTGAGGCAAGAGAATTGTTTGAGCCTAAGAGTTTGAGGTTGCTGTGAGCTATGATGCCATGGCACACTACCAAGGGCAATAAAGTGAGACTCTTTCTCAAAAAAAAGAAAAGAAAATATTTAACCCTCAATTGTTTGATATTTAGATTGTGTTTCTAATTTTTCAGTATCAAAAGGCTGCAGTGACCATTGTTATAAGTATATTCTCGGACACAGTCATGATTATTTACCTAGAAGTATTGTTGCAAGGACACCGTACTGCCAGATGGCTCTCTGGATAAATTCATGAGCTCCTGTAGTCAATTTCAGTAGTAAGAGCCCAGTCCTAGAAGTTTGTTTGTTGGTTTATTCATTTGAGACAGTCTCACTTTGTCACCCTTAGAAGAGTGCTTGGCGTCATAGCTCATAGCAATCTCAAACTCTTAGGCTCAGGTTATCTTATTACCTCAGCCTGCCAAGTAGTTGGGAATACAGGGGCCCACCACAACTGGGAATATGTTTTATGAAAAATTTATTTATTTATTTATGAAAAATTTAAACAGTACAGATAAAAGGGTATCTTCCATACACCCTCCCCTTAGCCCTATTCTCTTGCTCAAAGATAAATCACTATTCTAAGAGGTATATTTATAATCCTCCTTCTCCACTTCCAGACCTAGAAAAAAAAA